AAGACAAAGGAGGTTGTGATGGACTTCAGGAGAAACTCTGTTGACCACCCCCCACTGACCATCAACAGCTCGACTGTGGAGAGAGTCAGCAGCACTAAATTCCTGGGGGTGCATATAACAGAAGACCTCACCTGGACCACCAACACTACATCATTCTCCAAGAAGGCACAACAGTGGCTCCACTTCCTGCGCCGACTTAAAAGAGCAAGTCTCCCTCCACCCATCCTCACCACATTCTACAGGGGAACCATTGAGAGAGTGCTGACCAGCTGCATCACTGTCTGGTACGGGAACTGCAGTGCTGCTGACCTCAAGACCCTACAGCGCACAGTAAACACAGCTGCAAAGATCATCGGTGCCTCTCTCCCCTCCATTCTGGACATTTTCCTTGCACGATGCTCCAGTAAAGCTACCAGTATCGTGAAAGACCCCACCCATCCCTCCCACATTCTCTTCCTGCTCTTGCCATCAGGAAGACGGTACCGGGCATCAGAGCCCACTCTGCAAGACTGCTCAACAGCTTTTCCCACCAGGCTGTGGGAGTCCTCAATTCCAATCACCTCACCCTCTCTGAAACCTCATCCACAACCCTTGCTCCTGAAACCAGGATCCTCTCTCCCCCCATCCCACCACACCACATGCACCACACATTGAGAGAGTGCTGACCAGCTGCATCACTGTCTGGTACAGGAACTGCAGTGCTGCTGACCTCAAGACCCTACAGCGCACAGTAAACACAGCTGCAAAGATCATCGGTGCCTCTCTCCCCTCCATTCTGGACATTTTCCTTGCACGATGCTCCAGTAAAGCTACCAGTATCGTGAAAGACCCCACCCATCCCTCCCACATTCTCTTCCTGCTCTTGCCATCAGGAAGACGGTACCGGGCATCAGAGCCCACTCTGCAAGACTGCTCAACAGCTTTTCCCACCAGGCTGTGGGAGTCCTCAATTCCAATCACCTCACCCCCTCTGAAACCTCATCCACAACCCTTGCTTCTGAAACCAGGATCCTCTCTCCCCCCATCCCACCACACCACATGCACCACATGAACCTCAATTCCAATCACCTCACCCCCTCTGAAACCTCATCCACAACCCTTGCTTCTGAAACCAGGATCCTCTCTCCCCCCATCCCACCACACCACATGCACCACATGAAAACTGTTGAAAACCTCAAGAACATTGTGCAATTCTGAGTGTGCTACACACAGGAGAGTGGGCTGGACAAACCACCTGTATAAAAACACACCCTTTTCTCTCTATATGCATGCACCAGACACTTTCTTATAAAAACTCCATGTTACAAGGACTTAATAAGATAACACAAATGTTTACTTGTGAATGCACCACAAATCACATTGCACTACTTGCTTCTTAACCTTAAATACCTCTTTTGCACTATATCATGTACAGTTATTATGTAAAATACTTGTATAGTCTGTCTTAGGTTATGTATGTATAATCAACTATTTATAGTATATGTATAGTTAGACTACTGCTTCAGAAAGTTTGCTCAAAGCTATGTAAGTCTAAAAATTGTTCTTACTTCTAGGTTGTATGTTTATATTTGTTTATTTATGTAGCACCGTGGTCCTGCGAGACATGACATTTCATTCCACTGTATGTCCACACATGTAGCAGAATGACAATAAAGCTCGACTTCACTTGAAAGAAGAAAGTCATGTACACTTAGGATGGCTTGACGGTGAGTAAATCATGAGATCATGTTCATTTTTTTTGGGTGAACTGTCCCTTTAAGATGATGTTTTAAAATCTGTTTTGTCACTTGTGCAACATCTCGGGCATTTTCTTTCTTGCAGAGCACAGTGTCACTTTTAATATCATTACTCTGAGTTTAGGACGATTGACTCTGATTCATATGTTACATTATCATTTTACTTCTTCAAGAAAGTCAAGAACTGATTTCAATTTAACACTCAATATCAACAATTGAAGTTGTATTTTAAAACAAAATCCGCAAGTAATCCACACGACTCCAGTCCATCAATCAATGTCCTGTCAAAGCTGTACTTCATGGCAAAGCCAACCACTGGTGGGTATTGTTAAAGAATATTAACTTTTTTTAAAGATAGACCTACTTTGAACTTGGTTTATGCTAAGTTTAAAAGAATTGTTTAAAAAGTGTTATACATAAGCCATGATGCTATAAAGAGTTCCACCAATCGGAGTTAGTGCTAATTAATGTGTGTTTGTAATAAACAAATTAATCATTGCGTTTTAACTTAGAGTCCATAATCCATAAGCTTACTCCAGTAAAAAGGTGGTCTCATCTGAATCAGGATAGAAATATGCACAGATCAAGCACTCTTTACAAGCAAGCGTTATTTTGAATTATGGATATTTTGGCCAGAAGTGACAGTTTAAAGTTAAAAAAACATCTTGATGGATTTGTTTCAAACACACAGCTTTCCCCTTCACAAGACAGTAATTAATATGAATTACTTGCGGATTATTGTGATGTTTTTATCAGCTGTTCGGACTCTCATTCTGATGCCACCCATTCACTGCAGAGGATCCATTGGTGAGCAAGTGATGGAATGCAAATTTTTTCCAAATTTGTTCCAATATTAAATTAAAAACTCATAAAAATAGATTATTTATGAATAATCTGTATTATTTGTGTGATCTTATGTTCTTTTTAAATTACATTAACTGTCTATCATAGACAAACTGTCAAAGTTTAATTGTAAAATTGTGTATGAGTGTAGATGAAAACCTCAGATCCATATCAAGCCTTCTATTGGTTAGTGACACTCTAGAACAGGGATCCTCAAATCTGGCCCACGAGATCCACTTTCCTGCAGAGTTTAGCTCTAACCCTAATCAAACTTGGCCCTCCAGGGCAAGATTTGAGGAACCCTGCTCTAGAACGTTCTCATTTGCTAATGCATAAACTCTACAAGCCCAGAGGAGAATCAAAGGTAATCAATTTAGCTGAAAGGGAGGAGCCACCTAAATTCAAAGCTGTACTTAATGGCAAAGCCAAGCACTGGTGGATGTTGTGTCAACATTTGTCAGTATGGGCCTTTTGCAAGGTGTGTTAGTGTTGGTTGTGATTGTGGCGTTTAACCAGAAGAATGCATGGGGAAGTTTGATATACAGTCAAAGTCCAAGCAGCAAGAAGCCACAGTCAGATCCAGCATCCAGAGGTCCTGCTCTTTCTTCTCAAGCGTTCTTGAGCCCTTTGCAAAAGGCTTCTTGGTTTCATAGTCTGGACTCCAGAGGTTTTGTGCAAGAGCCTCTTGGTTTTCAGGAGAAGCAGCTGTTGCAGGGTTCAGTCAAGCATTTGGACTGGGGGTTTCCCATCGTTCCAGAGGTGCAAAGCGAGTTGGCAGTGGACTTCCAGTAGTGTGGCTATTCAATGCGGTGAGAACCAGATTCTTGTGGAGGTAAAGAAGGATTTGTTTAGCAATGGTCAACTGATCCAGCCATCTGGTTTGTCTATGGGAGGCTGCCCTGTTGTCGGTGAGAACTCTGCCTCTAGGGTGCTCCTTTTTGAATATGGACCGCAATAGTGCTGATGGTAAGAACTGTTCAATCCTACTGGATTATTTGTACACCAAAAAAAAGGTTCTTTTGTCAATTGTAGTTTGACTGTTTAACATTCACGTGACCTTTCCATTTCTTTAGCGTTTAAGAACTGCTCACTGAAAGCTGCTTTGGGGAACCAAAAGTAGTTCTCCTTGGTAAGTGCTTTTTCCTCATCACGGAGTTCGTAATGTCCATCCTAAAATAAGTGTCCCAAAGCATAGTATGTTGAAAAGGGTATGCCAGAAGTCCCCGGATGGTCCATTTCAGATTAATGTGGGTCTGTGCACTCTAATAGCTAATATTGCCCACAGTCCATTGCCCTTTGGTTTTCTACGAACTTGAAGAATTAAACCACAAACATGGTGTGTGCGGCTAATGGTTAAGTAGAGGGTTTTAGGTAAAGGTTTTGATTTCTGGCAACTAACCTTTAACCTGGCAACAAATTAAGTGGTATTTATTGTGCAACAATGTCAACCAAATTAAAATGTTCAAAGATGGTCAGACAGTATCTTGGAAGGTTATTTCTTATCATAAGAACCCCTTAAGGCTGGCCAATATGGTTTCTAACCCTAGTCATGTTGCATGATGAGTTTGTGCTTCTACATCAAATTGTCAATACAAGGTCCCAAGATTGAATTGAGTGGTATTAAAACCCTTTTGTACATCAGGCTGTCCTAGAACTGAAGATGCATGTAAAATGAGAACCCCAGGCATTTGTTTAATTATATGGCCTGTCCATTGTTAACTGTTTGTAAAGATTTGGTGTGCAAGATGCACTTACGCAGGAGATTTCAGCCTTTGTCTGACAGTTTATAAACATCCGTTTGGCTTTTTTTTTTTTTTTTAATTCCTTGAAGATGCATGTAAAATGAGAACCCCAGGCATTTGTTTAATTATATGGCCTGTCCATTGTTAACTGTTTGTAAAGATTTGGTGTGCAAGATGCACTTACGCAGGAGATTTCAGCCTTTGTCTGACAGTTTATAAACATCCGTTTGGCTTTTTTTTTTTTTTTAAATCCTACAAAAATGTTAAGTTTTCCCCACAAAGAACCATGGCTGGCCGATCAACATGCTACTTTCTCTCAATTCGGTAGGAAATGCAATGTGGAGCGTGTTAACTGAAACTAGCTGATTAATAGGCCAGTTTAGTGAAAGGTGCGTGTAACCGTGACTGAGCGGTCTGTTAAAGACTCCGTTGTATGATGCGAGCACTTGTCCCAAAGCTTGCCTATTCTACTACACAAAATGGTACCTTCTCACCTAAAGAGTACATGCATTAAGGGCGTAGTATAAGCAGCCACATTGGGACGCAGCATGGGTTATGGCACTTGAGTTGCGCTTTCACAACTTTGTCCCTGAGAATTAGGGTAAGGTCTAGTGACTCGATGCTATAGAGATGACATCGAGTTTGTCGCTTATCTGGTGCCTTGTGGATGCTACGGCTCCCACTTCATGCCTCGAACCCAGGAAGACCAGATTCGGTTCCAGCTGGAGGCCTTCATGTTCCAGGGAGGATACAGTCCTTCTGTACGTATTGTGCTGACTGAATTTGACTCTTCCCATCTGCTTTGGTTTTGTGACACCTTAACTGCGTCTTGCAGATCTACATAACGTGTATTGTGAAGGCCAGTCTTGCTTCTGCACCCAGTGACGCTCTCCGCAAATCCGGTTCCTTTTCCAACGAGCGTTCCTGCTACTTAAGAACATGTTGAAGGTACCTTGTCTGTTCTTGTTGCAAGTGGCTTGCTGCTGATGGGAACCACCAGGCTTGTGGTTGCTGTGACTCAACTTGTGGTCCTGATGGTGGAAATGCTGCTCCTTTTGGGGGTAGGTAGCTACTTTCAAGATTGCGTTTGACACTTCAAGTGCTCTACTTAACTTTGGTATTTGCTTACTAGGCATTCAGTGGGAAGGCCTCACTCGGTCGTGTAATGGTTCAAGAGCGACCGAAGACTCTTGCTGGTTTTCCATAAATGGAGAAGGTATTGTTTCTTGTGTTGTCTAGTCTAACCCATTTGGATTTGAATGTGGGGTAACTTGTAGTCCTACTACCACATGGCAAGTGCGGCACCAGCGCTGGGTTATATTTAACACCGCATTTGAGTGAAATATCCAAAAACCACTAGAACAGTGTTATGTTTTGCTGACTTGTGAACTTTATCCCAAATGTTTCGAAGAATGGTTAAATCCAGCGACATGAGCCATTTTAACTAGTGACACGGACTGTCCATTGTGTCGCCTGCCAATTGTCATAAACCCTTGATTTCTGGTTTTGTAGAAAAGACTCTTTGTGTGTTTTAATAGACTGGTGACAACTGCACAGTAGCATTAGTAGAACTTTCAAGTGTATCTAGTATGATAAAACGCACCGTTAGCTCCTCTATGAACATGGGACCTCATTTATAAAAGGTGCGTACGCACATGTTCTTGGAGTGCGTATGCTAAAATCCACGGCAACGTTCAGATTTATAAAAAAAAAGCTTTTTGACATGGAAAAGTACTTGCCACCACGTCAGGGTCTGAAACAAAAAGATAGTTTTTTTTTTTTTTTTATATTAATGGAAGCTTTTGCGAGATTAAACTGACCTTTTTAGTAGCCTAATGTTGTTCTTTACTCGCTTTCTGTAGTTTATTCCAAGGGTTTTTTATTTTATTTTTTTACAAGAGCACTTGCGAAGTCTTGATTTCTACTTTCAAGATTGCGTTTGACACTTCAAGTGCTCTACTTAACTTGGGTATTTGCTTACTAGGCATTCAGTGGGAAGGCCTCACTCGGTCGTGTAATGGTTCAAGAGCGACCGAAGACTCTTGCTGGTTTTCCATAAATGGAGAAAGTATTGTTTCTTGTGTTGTCTAGTCTAACCCATTTGGATTTGAATGTGGGGTAACTTGTAGTCCTACTACCACATGGCAAGTGCGGCACCAGCGCTGGGTTATATTTAACACCGCATTTGAGTGAAATATCCAAAAACCACTAGACTTATGTTTTGCTGACTTGTGAACTTTATCCCAAATGTTTCGACGAATGGTTAAATCCAGCGACATGAGCCATTTTAACTAGTGACACTGACTGTCCATTGTGTCGCCTGCCAATTGTCATAAACCCTTGATTTCTGGTTTTGTAGAAAACCTTGAAACAAGACTCTTTGTGTGTTTTAATAGACTGGTGACAACTGCACAGTAGCATTAGTAGAACTTTCAAGTGTATCTAGTATGATAAAACGCACCGTTAGCTCCTCTATGAACATGGGACCTCATTTATAAAAGGTGCGTACGCACCTGTTCTTGGAGTGCGTACGCTAAAATCCACGGCAACGTTCAGATTTATAAAAAAAAAAAAGCTTTTTGACATGGAAAAGTACTTAGATTGAGCAAGTACATAACCAGCCAGTGTTTAAAAACTATCGCCTTTAGCTCGATTCACAACGGTAAGCTTGTAAAGGTTTTCTAAGTTGAGTGGTACGGGTAGGTTTTCGATGGAAATTCGAGCATGTCATTACGTCACGTCTGTAATAGGGATGTGCATCTCATTTTAATGCCTCGAGGCCTGTTTCATAAAACCAGTTAACCAAATAAGCCAGGCTTATTTCAGTTAGTCTGACTCATTGTCAAATGATTTGGTTCCATAAAGCAAATTTAACATGGGCCTAGATTAGCGGTGGCGAACTCCGGTCCTGGAGAGCCGCAGCTCTGGAGAGTTCAGCTCCAACCCTAATTAAAACTCCCCTGCCTGTAGCTTCCTAGTAACCATTCAGACCTTGATTAGCTTGTTCAGGTGTGTTTGATTAGGGTTGAAGCAAGGGCTGCGGCTCTCTAGGACCGACGTTCGCCACCCCTGGCCTAGATCAAGCTTATAGTCACTGTGGCAACTTAGCCTGACAATTAATTAACCTGGTCTAAAGCAGGCTAAGTTAAGCTCCTCTACTGACCAACAGGAACACAATGATATTACCACTGTCTCGCATACTATTTAACTGACTTTTGCCTTTTTTTTTCTTTTTTTTTTTTTTAACAAATTAGTTTCTAGCCATGCAGCCTTTCTCTCTGGTTTTATTACTACTTTTATAGTTTGCAGAACATTACAATCTAAAATCGCTATTTAAAGCATTTTAAATAACTAAATTAAAAGTTAAAATCACTGAATTAAAAATGTAAATAAAGAATTACTACATTTGAACTGCTATAAGAAACCCATTAAAGGGGTCATATGATGCTGCTAAAAAGAACAGTATTTGGTGAAATGAAATGTTTATGCGGTTCAAAACACTATTTTCCACATACTGTACATTATTTCTCCTCTATGCCCCGCCTTTCTGAAACACGTTGATTTTTACAAAGCTCATCGGTCTGAAAAAGCGAGGCGTGCTGTGATTTGGCCAGCTATCCAGTGCGTTGTGATTG